AAAAAAAACACTTTTCTTCTGAAATATCACAATGATTCTCTTCTAGAAAGACTCACTTTTATTTTCGTTGATAATAATAAATGTATAAAATTAATTTAAATAGGAGGCGATTTAGGAAAATATGTTATGAGGTCAATAACTGGTGTAAAATAATAAGACCCTAATCCATAGTTTGTTTTTAGTTCTACAGGAATAGTGATAGCAGCAATTCTCATAATAAAGTAGATTTTTTTGAAGTGTCCTACTTATTCCATTTATATTTACGTGCTATGTAGATAGAGACAGTTGTTAGGATATGCCATTTTTTAGTTCTACAGGAATAGTGATAGCAGCAATTCTCATAATAAAGTAGATTTTTTTGAAGTGTCCTATTTATTCCATTTATATTTACGTGCTATGTAGATAGAGACAGTTGTTAGGATATGCCATTTTTCTGTACGTGCCCTCAGGTGGTATTATTTTTGGACCATACTTTACATTGCCAATCTCTTCCATTATCAAAACGCCACTTCAGCGGTAAGAAAGTAAAATTTATCTTAATGCTCTGTTTGTTTTTCGCGCAAAGCTACTCGTTGGCCGTCTCTAATCTTGAAGTGACAAGTTAGAGGAAAGGCATCTAGCTAACGCCACCCACAACGATCTCGTGGGCTACTCAAATCGAATAGTGAGATTTGATCGTCATCCATATAACGTATCTACGACCCCACCTTGCGGAGCATGTTTTTTGTTAATTTGTTGATTTGTTTTTGTTATTTTTTTGCAGTAAAATGGCGCGAGCCACGAATTCACAGTCAGGCACACTGACACCTGGACACGCCGGTAAACTCAAAAATGATAAAAAAATTATGAAACGTTGTTAGACTTCAGTTTGTGATCATAATTTTTTCTCGTGCATTTTGATTTTATATTCAACTTTTGAGTTGTCGTTTGTTTGTTTGCTATTTACTGCTGCTAACTCTTTTTTTTAAAGTTGACTAATTAAAAACTAAAGATTTCTTTAAGACATGATTAAACAATTATGCAAATTAATTCAAATTCTAGCGAATAAGTTGGCTTACTTAATGAATGTCGAAGATGCATGAAAAATAAGTCTGTTTAATCATATACGATAAAGCAAATTTGTGGAATTTTTAATTTATTAGACACTTTGAAAGATAAAACTTGAACCGTGTGATCGTCAGAATGTGATGGCAAAGCTGCTGCTGTTGTCCCTAATTTGAAATACCAGAAGGGAGGTAGGCGGTCAGCAGTACCAATCATCCATGCTAAGGCATTGACAGCCACTCTTATAGCGCATCCACAGTTTAAAGTGCGGGGATATCTTGTGGTATCGCACGGACACGAAATCCAGAGTTATACCAGATGGCCAACCGCTCCTCTTGTTGATCACTATTTGTAAATTTTCTGATACTAGAAGCGTACTGCATGGTATTATTCTCATTTTAAATTGAAAAAGCAAACAAAGCTCAATTGTTTTTATTTCAGTTAGTGTGAATAATAACCAATAAGTACTGTTAAAACTGTTTGTTTGTTTTGTTTGAAGTTAAGCACAAAGCTACACAATGGGCTATCTGTCTCTGCCCACCATGGTTATCGAAACCCGGTTTTTAGCGTTGTAAGTCCACAGACTTTCCGCTGTGCTACTGTTAAAAGTGAACGGAAGTAACAATTCGTTTTACAACAGGTTTATGCACGTTGGCCCAAACATGATCAAGTTGAGGACCAAGTAAACATTTTGTTAGAATTGCTTTTTCCTCCTCAATAGTTGTCATAGATTCGAGAGATGAACGTCTTTTGTGAAAGCCCCCCAGTGGCACAGTGGTATGTCTGCGGACTTATACCTCTAGAAACTGGGTTTCGATACCCGTGGTGGGCAGAGCACAGATAGCCCTTTGTGTAGCTTTGTGCTTAATAACAACCAAAAACAACAACTTTGTGAAGTGCAGCTCGTGTTGTAATTTCAAGTAAATCGTGGAAGAGAAAAAGGCAAACATGGTGAGTGGGAAGCTTCTGGAAGAACACATGGTGCTTATCAGTCGCAAATGAATGACCTTAGAATTGCATCTAAAATATCTTCGTTGTAGCCATCTTTCTCATTCTTCTATTTCTCTTTATAATCTGCAGGACATACGTTACACAGCAATGATCTCCGACGAAATTCGTCAACTTCAATTTAAATCTGTGAAATAGTATCAACTACAAAGACGAAGTGTATAGCGTTTGTATGGTATGAGGGTTCTACATAAGAACACTGCTGATGCGCATGCTTGAAGCTGTCAAACATGTATTTGTTTTTCGTCCCAGATCGAAAGCAATATACTAGTGACAAAACATTTCCAACATTTCGATAAAACACAAGAACAACATATTAAAACAATGCTGGTGGAGTGTACTCATATCTTCCCACTGTACAGTGACTGTGAAATTAGCAATGCCATGGGAATCGAAGAGCCACAAATAATTGTTGATAATTTTTTTAAGTATACACAATGTAAAGCAAAATTAGAATAATTACTCAATGATTTATATATATATATATATATCCATTATTAATACACTAAAATATTTTTACGCAATACTAAATATCACGATAGTTATATAAACCTAACAGCGTAGACCGTATACAGTATGTCTATTTACATATTTGTTTATTTTTTGCATATTAAATAAAGTCTATTTTTCTCTGCCTTCACAGAACGTATCATCGTGCTTAAATTGCACTGCGAACTCAGCCCACCTTTGTGCTCTGGCTCTTTTTAATTCAATATGTTGTTTGTGCCCTTATTTGGGTGTGTTGCAAAATTAGGTCACCATCTTAGAAATAAATACTTAATAGAGACTAAAGGCATTTTGCCAAGATTCCAACATGGGTGAAGAAAAAAGCTTTCTTTTCAGCAATTCTTTCACGCCTTTATTTTATCAAATTCGTATTATTGGCTACACAATTAAACAGACAGATGGATAGATAAAAAAATGTATTTTAAATACATTTTATTAAAAGTCAGCAGAAATGTATACTGTATTTCATGCACCGTAAAATATTTTAAGACAAAAATTATTTTTAACACGAAAAAAAATAAAATACTGTAGTAACATTTCTAATATTAACAAAAAAATAACAAACTCTGCAGTAATACTTTTAACAAACATACTAACAAAAATAACAAGCTGTATAGTAACATTTTTAACGCTAACAAAAATAACAAGCTCTGTAGTAGTATTTTTAACGCTAGCACAAATAACAAACTCTGTAGCAACATTTTTAACGCTAGCACAAATAACAAGCTCTGTAGTAACATTTTTAACGCTAACAAAAATAATAAGCTCTGTAGTAACATTTTTAACGCTAGCACAAATAACAAACTCTGTAGCAACATTTTTAACGCTAACAAAAATAACAAGCTCTGTAGTAACATTTTTAACGCTAACAAAAATAACAAGCTATGTAGTAACATTTTTAACGCTAACACAAATAACAAGCTCTGTAGTAACATTTTTAACACTAACAAAAATTAACACGCTCTGTAGTAACTCTTTTAACTCAAAGAAAAATAAAAAAATCTCTCTAGTAGCATTTTTTTAGCCTATACACTAACCTTTTCACTACCTATATCGAACGTAATCTTGATTTTACTGCAAGATATAATACCCGTTAAGACGATCTGAGTTTTCCATATTCTAGAGCAGCATCTACTTAAACCGGTATTTTAGAATTTACGCCATGACACAGTTCATATAACTATTGTCAGATCTTGAGGACTACAAAGAACCGGATAGCTTTCAGTTGCCCTATTATACAGAGCTAAAATAAAGAACAAATATTTATATAATTTGTGAATAGAGTACCATAAACATGTTTTTTTTATATTGCAGTAACTGTATGAACACGTGAAAACTGGAATTTTTAAATCGAATCACCTACGTTTTCAGTAAAGCTCAAACAAATACAGTGATTATATTTGTAGCTTATTTGTTTGTTTGGGCCTGGCATGGCCTGTTGGTTATGGCACTCGACTCACAACCTGCAGGTCGCGGGTTAGAATCCTGTCTCTAAACATGCTTGCTCTTTCAGCCGCGGGGCGTTATGATGTTACGGTCAATCTCACTATTTGTTGGTAAAATAGTAGCCCAGAGGTTGGCGGCGGATAATATTGACTAGCTGCCTTTCCTCTAGTTCATCGCTTCTAATTTAGGACAGCTAGCACAGACATCCCTCAAGTAGCTTTGCAAGAAATTTGTTTGTTTGTTTTAGCGCGAAACTAGACAATTGACTCTCTGCGCTCTGTTCACCGCAGGAACTCGAACTCTGGATTTTAGCGCTGCAAGTCTGTAAACTTACCGCTGTCCCATCGGGGACTACTTTTGTAGAATAAGCCTTAATCAACTCTTTCTGCGTTTATACTTAGAAAGCTTTCTCATGACTCATGCAATTGGAGACAATCAAAATGAAGCTAGGAATTATGGAATCATTTTATTCTTTATTTCTTATATCTAAGATATAAACAACAGGGAAACATTATTAAAGAAAACCTTATTTATTATTTAACATTCCATGAGCTTATCTACTACAGACGAACGTAATAAATATAATCTCCATCATTATAAAATTCTGTCATTATAATTTTATGTATCTATAGCAAATGCTCGTACATGTATATGTATTTTGTTCTTTCTTACTTCTTTATTCTAGTTTTCATCGCCTGAGGGCGTTACTTTGAACAGTTTAAAACCAGTTCTGTATCGAAAGGCTTTTAGTTGAATCTTTTTCCGGGGTTCCGTATGTAATAAAATAACACTTATTATTATCTAGTTATTCTCAAAAATATTTAAAACATATTTCGTGTTTGACACACAAGCTGAAATTCTTATCGAAAATAATTAAGTTCATAAACACTTTATTCTTTCATAAAAGTTTACGGAAGTTAACGATGTTTGTTACCATGGAAAATATACAGTAAAACATTTAATTACATACCTCAGATAACTGGACCGTCCCCAAACTGGTGACTGTCAGGTAAAAGATAACAGCACCTGTAGCGATAAACATCGGAAAATTTAGTTACTTTTGCACAGGTGTATCAATTAGCTCACTTTTTCTCCCACGCAATATAAACAATGGTCTTGTTATCGATGACGTATTTCATTCAGTATGTCTGGTAGTAAAATACTTAAAACGGTATGCAATTGAAGTAAATCAAACTTGCATGGTCAGTCAAGTAAGATTAAAGCAAAATATTTTTTTAAACTATCTACCCTCCAACAGTTTGGTTTGAATTATCAAAATGTTGGTCGGGACCTCGTTTGGTTTGTTATAAATTTCGCGCATAGCTCCACGAGGGCTATCTGCGCTAGCCGTCCCTAATTTAGCAGTGTAAGGGCAGCTAGTCATCACCACCC